AATTAAATAATATATATATATATATATATATATATATATATATATATATATATAACAATAATGTGACAAAATTAATAATAAAAACCAATTTAGAGAGAGACCTGTTGAGGGAAATCTCCATTGTCGAGTTGCGAATTAATCAGAACCGTTGCTGCTTGATGCAGTGGAGATGGGTCTCTTCGAGCCTATGATCACACAAAATCCATAGTTTAAAGCGAATCAGAGCATTCCTAGCTCGTTCATGAATTAATAAAATTCACTACACAACTAATACCTGGCCGGCTTTAATGAGAGCCAATAGGGCCCAAGAAGTGTTGACTATGTGTGATCTGCCATCTTTGAGATCAGTGTATACCTTATGCACGAGAAAATTATATATGTTAATATTAGATCCAACTTGAGCATACCTCAATTGGAACGTGTAAGTACCTTGTTATGAGCGGAGAGGTAGCTCTCGCCCCAACCACCGGATTTGAGTTGTTTAGAAAGAAGGAAATGAGTAGCCTTCCTTAGGGTTTTACTATTCTCATAGGTTCTTCCACAAGCAACTAACCCTTTGATGCCAAACCATGTCCCATATGTATAGCAAATCCCCCATGAGCCATACCTTAGTCAATAAAATATCAAATGGGTTAGGGTTATGGAGTCATATCATAGGGCTTGTGAAAAGGAAGCCAAACCAGGATCCATCAGGCTGCTGAATGGTTTCTATGAAATCTGCTGCTTTGGCCATGCAAGCTTGAATCTCTTTCTTGCGGTAGCTTGGATGGAGCTTCATGAATGCTTTGAGCCCTTCTATGGCTGCTGAACTGCACTCCACATATCTTTAAACCAATAAAATTCTTTTAGTTTAGTGTTTTTTTCACTCGATTCGTGTAAACGAAACGAAATCATGTCTTACTGATAGTCGATCATCACATCTCCGAATATTTCAGCTGGATTCAACGTCTAGATACCCAAAAAAATTTGAAAATATTAACGAAATTTTTGAAAACTCTGATGATATTTTTTAATATTATTCGACGTTTGAGGAATAAGAATTCGTTTTTACCTCCAACCATGGATGGGATCTTGTGAGTTCATATGAAGCAAATCCTCCATTGGAATTCTGCATGTTGAAGATTAACGTTAGATCATGGGTTTATTAGTGAACAATACTATCTTCATCGGTAATGAAGCTTTTTGGGGAAACCAAAAGCAAAACCACAAGGGTTTATGCTTAAAGTGGACAATACCATACCATTGTGGAGATTCATGATTTCTAACATGCTATTAGAATCATGCCTTTAACTTAGCTATGTCAATGGAATTCTCAAATGTCAAATAAATTGTGTATTTTGTTCGAGGACTCTAGAGAAAGGAGTCGAGTCTCGA